ACCAGATCCTCAGCACTCAAGACCGTTTTGCCGTTCTGAGAGAAATCTTTCCCTATGAGTTCAGGGTCCCCAGGGCTTTCCATGCCAAAGAAGACAGAACTTCCATTGATGACTTCAGCAGTTCCACACCTTGAATGCACCGCCACGTCATATAGGAAAAGCATCTTCAGAAGTAAAACACCATCCTTTTGAGCTAATTCTTGATGTGGCCAAGGAAGACTCTTTAACCCCAACCGTTCAGGCCCACAGCGCCGGCGTAATACAGGTGGACCACCGTCTTCACCTCTCAACCTTGACACTGTCCTGCATGGAGGTCCTCCAACCACAGCAACCACCTTTCCTTCAGCCGCCAGATGCAGAAGATACTTCCAGACGCTCGAATTATGTAGGTCACCGCCTTTTGTCAAATCCAGCTCCAGTACCTCCACATCCCGACTGGGAAAATGCCATTTTTGTTTCCCCGAAAATAGGTGTACCACCACCCTTTTTGCTCGTGCCAGCCGTCTCCTTTTATGACGGTTGAAAGGCAACGCCGCAATATCTCCACGTGGCAACAGCTCCATCAGCATATTTTCTGGTATATCCCCATAATACCACCGAAGAAATCGCCAGCATGCCTGGACGAACTCCTCCTCATTCGCTGACGCTGTCCGCGCTGCGCTTTGCAACGACGTTTTTACAGCCACCTCGTTGTCCGTATTCGGACACCCTTGAACCATACGTGCCACCTTCAAAGCTTGCTTTGGGGAGCACCAATCCATTTCATCAATGATCTGAAGCGCCACCTCCTTTTCTAAACAAGGGCACCCATTCAGATCACGAACGCGAAGTTCCCCCAGAACAGGATGTGAGGCTGTGCACTTGCCACCACGCCACTGAACTCTGAGACCAACCAAGGCGCTCGCTTTGCCAATTGGCACTAGTGGATCTACCATTTCAGGAGTTACCAGGGTCCCACCTGGGGTAATACACATCTCCCGAGATCCAACAGCTAAAGACACCAACACCTTTTGCTGCGGAAGCTGTTCTCCAGGACGAAGTGATCTGAGAGGATGTGATGCTCCCGAGTCCAACATGCCCATTCCCGAACACTCATTGGTGTCAGAAACCCTGGCCACATGTAGAACGCATACTCCTCGGCCTTCTCCCTGCTTCGGCAACAACGTGGCATCCGACGAACCGACTCCACAGTCCGCCCTTCCATTCCTCCATTGAGAATGGGACCAAGATACACGCTGCCCTTCAGCATGCAAAACCATTTTTTCAGCTGTTTTGTAATCCATAACCAAACAGCCATGTTCAAACCACAAGAGCTGGTCCAGCGAAGATTTTGCCCCCCGATTCAGATCACGAACGCGAAGTTCCCCCAGAACAGGATGTGAGGCTGTGCACTTGCCACCACGCCACTGAACTCTGAGACCAACCAAGGCGCTCGCTTTGCCAATTGGCACTAGTGGATCTACCATTTCAGGAGTTACCAGGGTCCCACCTGGGGTAACACACATCTCCCGAGATCCAACAGCTAAAGACACCAACACCTTTTGCTGCGGAAGCTGTTCTCCAGGACGAAGTGATCTGAGAGGATGTGATGCTCCCGAGTCCAACATGCCCATTCCCGAACACTCATTGGTGTCAGAAACCCTGGCCACATGTAGAACGCATACTCCTCGGCCTTCTCCCTGCTTCGGCAACAACGTGGCATCCGACGAACCGACTCCACAGTCCGCCCTTCCATTCCTCCATTGAGAATGGGACCAAGATACACGCTGCCTTTCAGCATGCAAAACCATTTTTTCAGCTGTTTTGTAATCCATAACCAAACAGCCATGTTCAAACCACAAGAGCTGGTCCAGCGAAGATTTTGCACCCACGTGACACATCCCATTGATCACAGTGAGGTTCGCCCCAAACTCCAAAATCAACCAGAGAGGGATAATCAGGGGCCCATTGTCTTCCCTAATCAACGTCCCTTTCTCTGTAATCCTCATTGTCACACCACCAAGCGCGCTTTGCACCATAACAGTAGTGTCTGGTAAACATTCCCATGGAAAAAGCGTCCGCACAAGATGCGTAGCAGCTGTATCCACCAACGCCACTCTCCCTTCCTGCTGAAGCAGCCCAGAGCCACATAACATTCGAATACTGGGATCCCCGTTTGATGCCGACTGTTCTGATGACAGCTTCATAGATTTCAGCACCTCTAACGCTTCAACAAGGACCTGATTGGCCGTTGATGGCGATGAGGGACTTGCAGAACCTTTATCCAATCCCGCATTAGCCGTCTCATCTCCCCCTTCAGCTACCTCTGCCTTTTTGGCATTTCCCCATTTCGCACCTTTGCCGCCCTTTCCCCCTTTGGGAGAATTCCCTTTAGATCTACTCCTCTCAGGATTTGAGTCCACATTGGAACTTGCACCATCCTTATATGGACATTGCGGCTGCAGATGGCCAACGGCCCCACACTCAAAACATCTTCCTCGTTCAAGGGAGTCTTTGTCATGGCGAAATTTGCAGCGGGATCCGAACTTGCACCCCGCATCGGTCTTCCCATATATCCAACAGAAAGGACGTTCCCCATCTCCGCTGTACCTTTTTCCTTTCCCTTTGCCTTTGTCACCCTCCTCTGTCTCGTCACCAGTTCCCTTTTGGGCCTTGTTTAACCTGGCCCTTTTCTTGGCGTCCGAGTCCTGCTTCACCTCTTGTTCACCAGCACTATGCAATAGCAGTTCAAACTCTGCCTGTAACATTTCAGCTAGTTTTGTCGCAGTTTCAGAGGTCGGCGAGTAGTCCACCCCCAATTTCTCCCGAAAGGATGCCACTCTGAAATGAACCGTAGGGTGTTTCGCCAGCAACGCGGATGACAAACCATCCAATCCCTTGATAAGCAAGGTAGCGTCCGGCTCAGCCGCTCTCAACTCCCTCAATCGGAAACGCCATTGCGCCCATTGACGCACTCCCTTTATGGCCTCTGAGATCGAGGTTGCTGGAGATGGTTGCACCAAGAAGTTCAACATTGTGCTGCGCTCATTTGCTCCACCTGGTTGGTAGACCGTCAGCAATTTGTAAAATATCATCACTGACCCCAACATTCGAGTGGAAACGATCTCGGTCTTCAATCTCTCCGGGATCGCCTGTAGCAGCAAAGACACCGCTCTCTGCTCCAACAAAACATGCACAGTTTGAACCACTTTGAACCCTTCCAGCTCAGCCTTGATGCCCAACCTTTCCAGCGGAGAAACACTCAACCATTTGGCATACGCTTGATATGCCTTTGAGTAGACGCATTGCCACCACACTCTTCCTGTATCTGTCAGTGAAGACAACATTGGTTCGATCATTGCGATCCAATCACCCAGTGCCGTCGGATTGCTTGGTGTGTAGTCTGCCAAAGTTGGAAGGCTCATCACATGCTTCCCGAGAGCCTCCGGACGTTCGGTTCCAGAACTATCACCAGTGATTGGCATACCACGTGGCACCACTGCTCCAGGAGGTAAACTGACCCTACCACCAGGCCCTTGAGGTAGTCCATGTCCTATACCGGGCGCAACAGCTGTGAGCGGAACCTTTTCTAATTCCAACTTCCCAGCGACCATTTTCCACCGATACGGAACATCATCCACCATTGTATATCCACCCGATCCTGCTGAGTTCTCTTGCGTTGCAGTTTCCCGAGCTGAAACAAAACCGGGCTGGTTCCCCACAGGTGCGGCAGAACCATCAACACCTGACGGCACGGAAGTAATCGGAACATGTGTTAAACCAGGTGGTCCACTTGCATATCCACCACTTGCAGGACCTCCCGTGGGGTAATTCAATGGAGGCAATCTGGAGGGTTTCTTCCCTTCAGCTACATGCATCATTGGCACTTCTTTTTCATCCTCCACTTGAACATCCCCCTTCCTGGACCCAGGCAAGGATTGAAGATCACAACCCTTTGGCAGGTCGTAGCCCTCAATAGGCAGCCATGTCCCATCAGGCAACACAGTCCAAAAACCACCCATACCATCCGTGTAGAAAACTTGTCCTGGCAGGTACTGCTTCTCTGGAGTCATTCCTAGAGGATATGCCGTGTTTGCGTCCACCACTCCAGAGCTCCGTGCTCTTGAAGCTGACCCAGATGCAGCAGAGGTATAGCTTTTCTCCTCCACCCGATGCAACCTGTTCCCCAGCTCCTTTGTTTGCACAAGCAACTCTTTCAGCGCACGCTTCACCACCGCCATATCTTCAGTTTGCTCTTCACCACTAACATCAGGAATGAGTTCTTCGTCGGCTTGCACTCCACCAATAGTACCTCGTTCCATTTGGCCCATTAAGCCTGACGATGGTCTCTCAACAGGTGCAGGTTCCTGACCCAAAAGATCTTGCAGCGAAGGTGGCCTCCTCGTACCTTCACCACTTCTATCCCCTCCGCTCGCAGGAAGACTTGCCGGCCTTGATTGCCTAAGTCTCATTTCTTCTTGAGCCCGCTCGCTCCAGAAAGGATTTGCTGCTTGAACCGGAACCACTTCGTTTTCCACCTGAGGCGTTGGTTGTATCATTGCAACCTCCCTACCATCTGTCAGCGCTTGTACCATTTGTTGTCGATCTTCACCCCCACCACCACGATTTCCTTCGGCTTCATTGGCCGTTGGCGACAGTCCAGGCTCAGAGCGACGCCGCATCATGTCCATGGCGTTAAACAAACGAAAAATCTTTACCAATTCCGCAGGAAGCCTAATTTGGGCTCATAACCTACGGGGGGCAACCGAAGGAGGACAGGGAACAAAACAGTCAGCCCCAACAGAAGCCCTTGATTCCCCTGGAACAACCGAAGACAAAACCCAAAGCACAACCAAACACACCTTTTCCGTAGGGCGCATTGCCCACGTTTCTTGAGCCAAAAATATCCGGGTTCATTGACCCCTTCAACTCCCATCACCAACTCTTTTCTACAATACCAGTTGCAGCTCCGCATAGGGTTTAGGGTTGAGAACCGAAGCAACTGAGCTGACGGGCGGGGCCTCCGCTGCCCTCCGTCTCCACGCAGTGCACTCCGAAGAACTCCAAACCTCAACTCGGAAGGATCCCAGGGCAGACCAGCACCTTCTGATGAAGTGAGCTGGCTGCTTATATTCGTTGCAAAGGGGGTTTAGGGTTTAGGGCTTAGGGGTTAGGGTTTAGGATCATCAAACTAAGAAATATCACAATGTCAAGTTGCCTACTCAGTTGTGCAACATCCGCGCCCCGATTGCTGGGGGTGCCACCGCTGGTCGTCAAGGTGCCCGTCTTGTCGAAGCAGGCGACACGAACCTGCGGGCGGGGGAGCGGCGTGCACGCTGTCGAAACTTTGTTTCGTCTCTCAAGAACGCCGAACGCCTTTGACAAATGATGCAGACAGAAAGTTATGAAACACAGGTGCCAACCGTACGTCACTTCTGGAACTGACAAACGATGCACGACCTACATGGTTCTTCCGAAGGGAGGGCATAATTCGCACAAGGCGGTGTGCAATTCCACTGCCCAATCTTCTGGCAAAATGGCACTCCGAACATTTCTCCAAACAGGCAGTGGGTCAATTTGTCGAGCACCGTGGAGACCGTGCAACCCTGTCCTGGATCCGACCATGGGGATTTCGGGGTTGTACAATGTTGTACCCGTTTGTGGGACGCACCCATATGCCTATGCGGAGAAACGAAGCCTTACATGACAAACTCCAGCTAGCACAGGGCCTTCCCCGCCAAAGCGATCCGCTTGGGCACCACGCAGAAGATGCTGCAACTCTTCTCCTGCCAAACGAAATTTATGGGCCCCACATACTCATGGTTGTTTCAGGGGTCTGCTGTGGCTGGCGCGTGGGACCCGGGGGGCTGCACCCCACATCCGACCAGGGACGGTAAAAAGCCCAATGCAGTAGCTTGGACAGCAGGGAAAGAGAAGCCAAGGGCTTGCTACATGCTGCCAATTCCAGAGCCGTCTGCTCCTTCAGCCGCTTTGCTGAAATCACCTGCCGGGCTGAGGGATGCTTCGGGCTTACATGCTTCTTGCTGGAGCAAACCACGCCACCACGAAGATTGCAATTTCTACTCCTTTGTTGACCTTCGTGACCATTATGACCATTCTTACTATTACTCCGATTATTCCTATTCCTTGCTCTTCCTCATTTTCCCTTGTTATTCCTTCTTATTCCTATTTGTCCAATCAGTCCTAGTCCTAGTAGTCCCATTGACCCTATTCGAACTATAATTCCAACTATTCCTACCATTTCTACTATTCCTACTATTCCTACTACTCCTCCTATTTCTACTATTCCTCCTATTCCTACTATTCCTACTATTCCTACTACTCATACTACTCCTATTTTTGCTACAGCATTTATTGAGACCTCTACAAACTCTTACGACTATGATGAATTTATTAGCATCAAGGTGCCATTAGCAATACTAAGCAAGAGGAACGCTACAATCCCCACTCTGCCTGGCCCACGGACAGCACGATGTGCAGCATCGTAGGTAGTACGCAGGAGCAGGTGAAGACCCCGCTGGCCCAGGTGGCCGTGAGGGGCAGCTTCCTTTGTAGAGATGCGGTAGTAGCTCTCTAAGTTCGGGTCCATGTTTTTAAGGTCCCCCTAGATAGTACGGCACTCTTAAAATCAGGACCCCAATTCAGGCAAGTGTATGAGGGTTCGGTGCTCAAGTCTCAGCATCGAACCCTGCCGTCCTTAGCCATGTCCGCCCTGAACGCTCTTGCGTCCGCCGAGGAGCTGCTGCACCGCGTAGCGGACGTACATGACTCTCATCAGCTTGACCACAAGGGCAAAAGCGTAGATGATGAGCAAGAAAAAGACAACCTCAGGTCGCGCAAGCTCCTGCTTGAGTGCCCTGCGTGCCCTCCAAGATCGCTCGGCTGCTTGCCAAGCGACGCTCAGCTGCTCATCGTACTTGAACACCAATTTTGGCGGGTACAAGATCAACAGGAGCAGCTGCCCTTTCCTCGGAACAGAGCTGACAAAAGCCGGAACAAGTATGACAGTATGACGAATGAAACCGCGGGTTCCGTCGTAGTCGTACTCATACCACTGACAACTGTGTACTGCAGCAGCTGCGACATGCTTTGCCAGGAGTCTGAGTGTGAATGCCCGTATGGGTTGCCAGAGCCCATGTCTCGTTGTCGACAACCTGGAGCACAGACGTGCCTGCCTCAGTCACGATGTGCACGGGGCGCGCACGCTCTTGCACTGGCAGTGTCTTCACAACTTCGCAGCCTCCCCAGTCGACCAGCTAGTAGATTCGATCATGAGCCGCTGATTTGGCTTTTCTTGGCCTTCTGCTGCTCAGGCAAAAAAAAAACCTTCACATTTCTGCGCAACCTGTATCCAAGATCCGCTTGGGAGCAAGAACGCATCATAGAAATGTTGAGCCCACCCCCTCACCATTTCTCCAAAAACTCTCACACCTCGATTGTCCTTGTCATTGATGGTATTCATATTGGTATTATGAAAACTGCGTGCCACCACTACTCCTACTGCTGCTCTCACTCCTGCTATTGTTGCTCTGAGCCCCCCTTCAGCCCCCTTAATGAAAAACTGGGCCCAAGGCCACCAAGGAGTGCTTGGCGGCAAAGCGGAACCCGGGCCTGGGCCGGTGAGCAGGCACGTTTTGAGGGTTTGAGGGTTTTGGGTTTCAGAGGCTTTCAACAAACCCTCAACCCCAGGCTCGGTAGGGGTTTCGCGGCCCAAGGTTTGCGGTTTAGGCTTGGGGTTTGGGGTCCTCCGTCTCCGACCTGTCAGCCTCGCACCAGCCGGCCTTCCTGCACCTTCACGCCTGTCAGAAGCCGTTCACGACTTTGGGTTTGGTTGGAGTGTGTCTACTTTTTCGGCCAAGTGACGGGTCATCTGGCAACTTCTCTACCTCAGAACAACTGAGAAAATGCAGCAGCTAGCACTTCGCCCTGACAAACCAATCCTCAGAAGAGCGTGCCAACCTGCTGCTTTCATGTGCTCGGCAAATTAGGCGCATGAGTTGTTTCCCCCCATCCTCCCGCCAGGATCCATGGCTTAGAGGGCCTGTAGTTGTTATGAGAAGGCAATGTAACATGCACGTAAGACTTTTAGTTCTGGAACCAGCATCTCGCTGAGGTCCCGGTCACCGAAAATGAAGCCAGAGCAATAAAGTTTAATGTAGTGTTGAGATCGTGGCAACCGAGAGTACTGTGAGCAGATAGCCTCAAAGCGTTGTACTGGGCATATTACGTTTCAAAAGTGTGGTGACAGGAAGGGGCATGTGACAAATCTGGCAGGTGAGAACACCAGTAAGGACTAAGTCAATCATTGCCATGTGGTGTTGCCAGAAACACAATGCTGCGACACTCGGTGAAGATGCGTGTGCATGCATACAGAAGAACAGAAACAATTGCATGCACAGCTTTCGAGCCGTGTCAGGCGTTGGCTCTGGCGTGCCCTTTCAACAGTTCAACATCTCCTTTGAGACTGAGTTAACTAAGTTTACAACCGAGTTGTAGATGTTCGTCATTTTTGTATAGGACGACAGGTCAGACATGGTGTAGACGATATTCCCGTTGGACGACCGGCGAGATGTCGCTACTGCTTCCCTAAGCCCAAAGCAGATCAAATCAGTGTGTAATTATGCGATTCTTACTCTTACGATACTATTCTTGAGACGTTAATAGCCTTGCGATTTTTCCACAGGGTCTTATGATTAATCAGCTTCATTTCTTTTATTCTCAGTCTGATCCGGGGAGCCGGTGCCAAGCGCTGCACAGGCATGGACTCGCCCGTCAGTGTCGACTCGTCGCAGACCGCCGCCCCGCGGAGCAAGAGCAGGTCGCAAGGGACCTAGGCGTTAAGTCTGACATACCATTTCTGTGCTTTATCTTCCATTGTGTCCCATGATTTCAAAGATATTGATATAACACATTATGTGTTCATGTCTATTTGTTAATATATCATGTATATGTATAGATATATATATATATATATATATATATATACGTATATGTATATATACGTGTATATATATATACATATACAAAAACATATACATATACATATGCATATGCATATGCATATGCATATGCATATGCATATACATATAATTACATATACATATACATATACATATACACATACACATACACATACATATACATATGTATATTGTACATACATACATGCATCTATGCAACTACAGTGAAATTGGCTTGGGGGCGAGCGCCCCCAGATCTTATCTTGATGAGCACGTTGATCCAAATCACCAGACGCTTTGCTGCAGCAGCGAAAGGCTACAGCAAAGAGAGGCTACTATGAGCATACGCTGCTAAAAGCTAAACCCTAAACCTTAAACCCCAAACCCTGAACCGGCCTAAACCCATCAAGGCAACCAGGACAGAGCTGACGGGCCCCCATCGCGCGCAGGGCCGAAAACTCAGCGCGGCGCTGGACCAGGCTGCACCTTGACGATGTCACCAGGCACAAGCTCGTTGGCGTCAATCTGCAAATGTCAGGGTTTAGGGCTTAGGGTTTAGGGTTTGGGGTCAGCCGGGGCTTCAGGGTTTAGGGATTGCAGAGGTCTCTCTAAGGGGTTCAGGGTTTGGCAGGTTTTCGACGGTTGTTGCTGTTGCTGTTTAAGGTTACAAAAGTAGAAGGCTTAAGTTTAACGTAGCCTTCCCTGGCCTACACATCCTACATTTGGCGACAGCCAGACCTCAACGACCTGGCCATCTCGAAGCACGTGGGCCGTCAGCTGCTGCTCCTTGGCTGGGCTTTTTCGGCGTGGGGTTTACCAGGGCTAGGATGGGCTCAGGGTGGAGGGTTGTGAACCCAAAAGGCATCTTGCTCTGGGGCGCAGACAGCATATCTAACTGATGCCAAAACCAAGACTCCATCATGGATTTGATGGACTGCTGACTTGCCAGTCTCACAGAGGTGTTGAAAAAACCAGAGATGATAGCAATGGTCATGGCAATGATTGTGTAGTGCCAGTAGGAGAACCACACCTGAGTCCATCTGAGTACCAGAGGCAAAGTCGGAAGAGTCCCACAGCTCGCACTCGCAGCCAGGGCGCGCAGACGGCGTAGATGGAAAACTGGTACAAGAAGAAGAGCGTGCTGAACTCCTCAGTGAGAGCCTGTGACCAAGAGTCCACTTCAAAGGGAATCTGGTTCGGCCCGGCGCTCCTGCACCAGCGAAGGCAGCGAAGGGTGGAGAAGCGTAGGGTCTACACCAGGGTTTCCCTGATGCCCCCCCTTCTACCCGAAGAGACCCGACTCCAAGATCTCTTCCGCAGCCCCCTCCTGTACATCTCATCCACGGACTTGAAGCCTTGGGGCGAGGGGCTCTTCGTCCTGATGCGGAACGGTCTGGTGTCGCTGGTGGACCCATGCACGACATGATCGAAATCCCTCAACTCCTGCCTCAGGCCACCTTCTGCTAGCAGTGTGTCGAAGGCCGCATGACCTTTCCGCAGACCTCACGATGTACTAGGGCGGCGCTTTACGTTCCCTTCCCTTGATCAAACAAGGGCGTCGAAAAGAGGCAAGCAGAATTGACCTTCAGCCCAGCTGCTGGTGCTGGGATCATGCTGCACAAAGCCGTCGCCGTCAGAATCCTTGGTACAGGACACACAATTCGAAAGTTTATTCGCCAGCCTGAGTTTCGGCATGCGCAAGATGGCGCAAGTTGTTCGTAGCATACTCACTTCACGATCTTTGGAAAGAAGCATAATTCGTGAAGGTTATGAGGAGTGTGCGAGAGCGTCCGTGCTGGTGACACAATGTGACACATGCCTGAGACGTCTTGGATGTCTCGGGTACCGGCGTACACGTATCTTTGGCAGCGAAACCTTGTCACAGAAGCTCGTCAGTACGGAAACAACAACACAAGCGTTAGCCAACATAGCGCCTGATGGACGACACTACTGCCAGTAGGACACAGGTTCAGAATGGGTGATGCTTGATCAAAGAGAACCAGACGCGAGTGAAGTGCTGCAAAGCAATGTGCCGAGAGGCTCCACGTACCAGAGCTTGCTGGTGTGGTCGTACTTCAGCGGGATGGTCTGCGAGGACGCGCCGGACAGCGACAAGAATCCGCCGGGCAGGTCCTGCCATGCAGTGTGCATATCATACACATTATGTGCATATGCTACGCAGAACTGCCAAATATCATGGGAGCGGCCTTGCCACGAAAGACCTTCGCCACCAAGCCCAGAGCCTTTCACTCTCCAATGCTCTGTACAGCTGACACTGCGGTTTAAGGCTTAGGTTTTCGGGTTTAGAGTTACGACGCACACGATTAAGACGTCCCTGCCTTCTTGCGAAGGGCCAGTGTCCGCGAATAGCCACTGCTAATGGTCTCCTGATCCCATGTGCGCCCGACGCGGCACATGTCTTCTTGAGCTCTCAACATAACTCGGTACTTGTATCAGTCTTCAGCAGGAAGAATAACAGCAAGGTTACCCCGATCAACGACATCCAAGCCTGTTCCAATTGCGTTTTTACGTGATCCTCTTTCACGGCTAATGCACGGGCCCACTGCTTGAAACCGGACGGGATAGGCCTGCCGTTCCTGCACAGACACGCAGATGACAGCAGCCTTCCAGGCCAGTCGGGAGACATTTCTTGAGGCATTGATATCCTAACCAGAAGAACCATAAAAATTCCCACCATCCAGGCCGGGGGTTCTCAAATACTGTTTATACGCGTTGCAGCAACTCTGTCCTGCCTTGCGGAAGGGAGCTCTCAAGCCAAACTGCTTGACCATCTGCCCTCCCGTGTTGACAATGAGGAAGAAGAACCAGGTAACGCCCAGGCACCAGAGTATCAAGAACCTTACTCTTCCACACTCAAGCCACATCCTCTCCAACAGCTCAAGGGCTGCCAGATGACACATAGGAGTTGGCGTCAAAACTCCCAAAGATCGGAAATGTGCCTCAGCTGACGAGCAGCTAGTAGAACCACCACCCAGCAACTAGCAACCGGAAAATACTTTGGTGATGCTCCTTCCTCAGTCACAATGGTATCCAAGGTGTGACGATGCGGATCACTCCAAGCATCTCCAAACCGATCACTGTGCGGCCACGGCCACCGATGAAACACAGATGGTCTGGCCAGCTCCATTCGCAATCTTAGCGATTGCAGCAGAAGGCCAGAAAATGGCAGAATATGGCAGAATCATCGCAGTGTCACGTGCTCTTGCACCGATGTGCGCTCCACTAAGCTCACGAAGCTGGCTGTCGTTGTTGCTATGCAGGCACACAAGCAACAGCAGCAAGATTGGCACTGGTTCGAACCAAGGGCACCCCAGTAGTAATCCGCCACTACGATGACCTGCAAAATTTGGCATGGAGTCACCGCTGGCATGATGGAGTCATCAATGAGCGCACTTGAAGACATGCCACGCTGTCAAAAACGCATCATAGCAAGGCACAAAAAGGATGGTGATGAGCGCGGTGGTCATCGGCACCAGCATTGACACGACCCGCCCAAGGCGAGAATGCTTGTAACCCTCGAACTCGATGACCTCAAGGAGAGCGACTTGCTAAATCCGGGTCCCCCCCTCCCCGTCCCCGCAGTGTGTTCAAGGGCCACAGGTGGGCCCCTGGGGGATCCTGTAGAAACCCTCGCTCACGCAGAAAACGTCAGTGTCAAGGACAACACCAACCCTGTCCTACTCCACAACCCCTCCCGAAACACTGAAATCAGTCAACCTTGGTGGGATGGGAATTGGTGGCTAGAGGCCCCCACACCCAAGGAGCGAAGCATGCTAATTCCTTAACCTTAAATTAAACCTTAAGGGTTAAGGGTTTAGAGCTTAGGGCTTAGGGTTTAGGTAACCGGGTTTAGAGCTTAGGGCTCAGGGTTTAAGTAATTTAGGGGCTCAGGGCATATATCCCACAGCCGGGCGGCTCTATTCTGCGAGTCTGTCACGCACTGTCGGCACGCATCCTTGCAGGGCCCTAGTGCCTCTGATCAAAACTAACAGAAAGCCAGGGGTGGCCCACGAGAGTTCAGCTGACTCTGAGAGAACTTCTCTACTACTCCTACACCCTAAGCATCCCTAAGCCCTACGCCCTAAACATCCCGAAACCCTCGAGACCCTAAACCTCCCATCCCATCTCCAGATAAGGGGGTCCGTCCTGTCTCGGCTTGTCGGACTTGGGAGTGCCATTCACCGGGCGCGAGGCAGACGCACCTGATCTTCGGCGGCTACACGGGGGGTATCTTGGCTTTTACGAAAATAGGGGGCCCTTTTGGGGAGTTCCTATGTCCTACAAGGGTTCTAGCATGTTGGGGTTTAGGGGGGTATTTTGGGGTGTCTACGAAGAGAGGGGTTCCCTTTTTGGGGGGGTTCCTATAAGAAGGATTTATAGTAATTTTGGGAAGGGGGGGGGGGGCATATTAAGGGTACCCTATTTTGGAAAAATACCCAATCTAGGGGTGGATTTCAGGCAGGGATCCTACACCTAAAGCTCGTCGGGCAGTTACAACGACACGACAGAGATAAAAACATGTTGGATTCGAGGTAAGGCCCCTTGTTGGGAGACACCCATGTATGGGGGCCAAACATGGCGAAGCGATCGAGTACATCCCGAACCATCTAGCGTTTGCTTGTGTATCTTGTGTTGCTGACTAAACTTGCCTCTAAAGTTACTGCCAGTGATGATGGTTCCTCCTGCTCGCAGGAAGTCATCTTCCTTTCTGCCTCATGGCCGCCGAGGGCTTGCCACTTTCTGCGCATCGCTGAGCCTCTGGCTCAGTGTAAGAGCATTCCTGAGCGGGAGCAGGTGCACGGCACACGCGCAAACAACTGCTGACCTTTTGCTTCCTTGGGCAGATCCAAATGCAGTCCCAGGCTCCGAACCGAACGTCGGATGCACCAGAAGATATACAGCGACACGGCAGCTGCGGCGTAGCCTCCAGGATGGTTGGATTCTTGGAGCTTCCCGGGCAGAAGCCCCTTCCCCCCAAGATGTGAACGTATTTTGAGAGAAGCTACATACCTGCAGGTCCAGGTTTTCGGGGGTGGGTCCTACTACGTTTCTTCGGAGGGCTCAGTGATGTTGAGGACGGACTCCTAAAGCCCAAACCTGTGCCAAGGCGCCATAAACCAAGAGGCAGGGCGTTTCCCTGAAGCTCACGATCAGGCCCAGATGTGCGTTTTCGTCCTCGAGATGCCCAGAAACAAGCTAGGGAGACCCCAAAACACGGGTGTTCAAAAACTACCGATTCTGCCGCCACGCAGCTGACATGTCAGGGGGAACTTAGGGATAGGGACTTAGACTAAGGGACATGCCCCCACATAGCAGGGCGCAAGGGCGTGAACTGCTTGGTCGAAGAGACTTCGACCCCGCAACTTTTGCAGACAAGTCTCTTTCAAACCTGAGGACATCGCTGTTTCTGGCTGCACGGCCAGGCCACCAAGAGTTAAATCGATCAAAAGTGTATTACTAGCTGTATATGCTGCCACCTGCGCAAGACAAAGTCATCAGGCACGTGGCTACAAACTCGCCTGCTCCATCTGCTATGCAGTGGCACCAGAAAGTGCGATTTAATCTTGCAATGTTTTCGCCTGCTGTTGCCATGCTGCATTCTGCTAATACATGGCACTACCACTCGGAATTCAAAGACAGGCT